CAGGGTTGGTTCTGTGCATGAGGCTCACACAGAGCAACACATGTAAAAGAAATATGGGGACACAAATTTGGCATGGGTTTTGCAAGTGCAATCAACACATTTTTTTAAAACTGCAATTTTCCTTCTGGAGATATCTTGTTATCTATATATTTACTATACTTAACAGCAATGCTAGTTAAGTGTAGAAGATTAACGGTCCTTTTGCCACAATGCAGTACTCCCCAAGGGAACACAGCATATAAAAACCTGCTCTCTGCAGGAATGGGTGTGAAAATGAGTTATTATGGAGCTTGCTCAGCAGATCTGAAGGAAAATATATCTATATAAGGGAGAGAAAAGTAATCAGCCAAGGTGAATACAATTTGAAGGGTTATTGTATTCCTCGTTCTCCCAGAGTAGAGTCTCATCTTTCTGGGGGAAAGTGCAATACAGGGTGGTTACATGTCCTGCTTTGCAGGGGACAGACATTTCTCTGAAAGGCTGGCCAACAAGGCTATGTACTGGATTTGGCCAAGGTTCAAATCCTAAGACAAATCAGGTCTATTCAGAGGGATCTAGGCATTGCTCGAGTTGGCTCCGTCTAATGAAAAACAGGTTGACATTCTCATCTGCTGTTGTTTGTGAGCGCCCAAACCAATTCTGCAAGGAAATGAAAAATTGAGTAGTATACAAACACATTGAAACATGCGCTTGTGATAAAATCAAGTTTTAGCAGCCTAGCAGTTTTCCTTTTGAAGTCTATGGGCAGATGGTGAGAATTTTCAGAGGCATAATGAGGACATTATAAAGTTAGCCACCCCACAGTTTCCTGGTGGAATTTCAAGAGCAGAAATTCTTAGCAGAATCGAGAATAACAGAACACACCAGCCAACAGGAGACACTTTCAACTCAGCACAAGCTTATCAAGTGGCCCAATCATCATGAGGATCGTTTGGGCTCACAGAAGTGTGAAATCTCTGTAGATCTTAGGCGCCATTTTCAAAAAAGTGCTTCAGCATAGCATTTAAATAGCTGACATGTGTTGTCCGGTCACAGGATCACAAAGCCAAAGGAACACAAAGCCCATTGGCTCAGTTTGGTCTTTGCAAAACTAGCTATTTTGACTCCAAGTATGAAAAATATATTCCCCCCCCCATAATTTGATGTAATTTGATGAGCGTGTTCCAAAGTCACCCTATTCCTACCCCTGACAGAAACTGCCTGACCTCTGTGCCAAGGTCATATTACTTCACCGTGTGTGTGTGTGTGTGTGTGTGAGAGAGAGAGAGAGAGAGAGAGAGAGAGAGATATGGAAGCTGGTTTGCAGACAATACACTATGCATGCTACCGTACTCATTCAAACTTTAAGTCCTCAGATATTCCCATATTGTTGTCTTCCATCAGTATCCCCAGGTCAGACTGCTTTGTCTGCAGCCTGATCCTCTGTCAGCTGCCTCATTTGCTGGCGGCCTGTCACACTCCACCTTCCCCAGAGGTTGGTGTGCGAAGGGCCCTGGCCACTGCTCACCCCTCCTTGGCAAACTTCTCACCTTCTATAAGAACTGTGAGCTTGATTGGGCAGAAATAGTCTCTCCTCCAAATAAACGCTGGTAATTTCCACTGATTTCTGTTTTCTTCAGAATTCTCCAACCTCCTTACTAAGTGCTGTGCAGCACTAATGCTATTCCGGGAGTTTTTCTCCATTGCTGCTCACCAAAGAGGCCACCCCTCCACCTTTCTGGCATTAATGCAAGCAGATGGCTCCAGCTGCAGTATAATTACTGCTTTAGGCAAAGTCCACTGGCTCCACAGCACTCTTCAATTATTCAATGGTCCACGATCTCAGGCACGGTCATAAATATAATGGGAAGCCATCAAAAGTCACCAGGTAGCTCTCTCCCTTGTTTTCAGGCCATCTTATGGCAGACCTGCTTTTGACAGTCCATTAGTCCCCTAGACTTACGGGAGCCACCCTTTCCCAAAATGTCTTGCTTTGCCGTTTTTTAGAGTTTCTTATTGAAGATGTGAGACATCAGCAGGAAAGCTTCTTTCCAGTCATGAAAGCAATTAAGAGAACTGCATGGGTTACATTAAGACCAAGTATTTCTTATTCAATAGAGCCTTAAAAAAAAATATTAACAGAAATGCCCTATTTTTAGATCTTCCTCCTACAAGTAAGAAAGGACTTGCAAAGTGAGCTTAAGCCTAATAAATTGTAGTTTGGCTACAAAGTTAACTCTGATCTCTCCCAAGGCCGCTTTCAGCCGCACACAACACAGGAAGGAAACAGCCGCAAAGTTTTAATACGAACATTGTCATTAGTTGTTTCCCAAAGAATATGCAAGTTATTATAGCAGGATATATGTTCTGGGACATTGTTTTTATCTAGGAATTGGGAGTAGTAATACTAAGGGGTGTGAAATCCTTTCTCTTCTCATCATTTGTATATGGTCAAAATCCTGACTCTGGCTTCCCCTCTCCCCACCTCCTCCCTCCTAATCCCTTTTTCCTTTTGTGTCGTGTCTTATAGATTATAAGACTGAGGGCGGGGACTGTCTTATCACTGTAAGCCACTCTGGAAACCTTTCATGGCTGAAGAACATATAATATATATATAATCATGAAGCCCAAGTTGCTTTTCTCCCTGCAGAAGTAAATAAAGAGGTCCCCAGATCTTGGGAACAATTATCTTGAGCAAACACATGGTGCATGGTGGGAAGAATTCAGCAGCCAGCCACCCACCACCTGCCACTCCTTTGCTCTGAACAGCAGCCTCTGAACAGCTGCTTTTCAATAATACAAAACCTGCCACTGGATACTTCATGGATTTTCCACATAACATCTAGTTCGGTCCTTAGAATTTTGAACATGACTTACATTTTCCTCCTGCAGGAGTGAAGAGTTAGAGCTGAGAGAACATCAGTTTTCAAGGAGGGAACCAGAGCGATATCCCATGCTTACTGACTCAAAAAGATTTCCCTATAACATTACTTGTCATTTACATTATTTAACAAAATTTCTATTATCACTTGATAAAGAAACCTCTCAGCTGTTCACAAAAATATAACATGTAATTTAAAAACTATGTTGATGAAAACACTTAAAACAAGTATTTAAAAATATTCAAAAGATAAAATCAACTGTAGCTAAAAAAAAAAGGCCCTCCAGGCCTCTCTACCTGGCCCTCGAGACTCTCCTCAGGCCACACCCCCTCTACACATGCCATGTCACCAGCCCTACTTTGCACCCTTTGCAAGTGTTTTTGCCTGGCTGGAATATGTCCTTGAACCCTCACAATGAAGAAAGAGGGTACTGTTTGGCATTGCTGCCCAGGTCTGTGTTGCAGCTATGCCCCAAGGGGCTTCAGACAGGTTGCAATACAATTATCAAACTTTTTAGGCAAAAAAGGAGATGATTTCTGACCATTTACTCAGTATAAACTGAAACACCATCTGATGCTGTTCACCAGCTCATCCTCTGAAACACCATTTCTAGCCTTGCACTGGAAAAATGCACAGATGGCAACACAGAAGTACCGTATACTGAACAATCATGACTTGGATTCCACCACTTTCAGGCAGATTTTATTTAAACGCCACCATTTATGAGTAAACACAACAGCTGGGACAGTTTTAAGCCATCAGTGGTCCAGGCCCAAGATGAAATAGAACTTTTTACATGGAAGAGAACTGATTATTATTATTTTAACAATTTTCTGAGCTTTCTGCTTCACCTACCAGTTGGACGCGACAGCAGCAGATCTCCCTAAATCAGAAAGTAATTACATTCCCACACTTTGTTTAGCTTGTATACTTTAGTGCCTAATTACCAGAGATAGTTTACGAGCTTCCCCCACAGAAAATAATTGCCACATGTCTCCTTAAAAGAAACAAACTATCAGCGTTCTTTTCAAGACACAAAGTATAAACACCAATTAAAATGGGTTATACAAGAACTTCACAAGTAAAACAGGCCTATAGCAAAAATGTTAATAAAACGAATCCAAATATGCCACATTTAGAACCTTGCACCTGCATTTGCTTAAAAAGTTTCTTTTAAAAAATAAAGTGTGGGGGGATTACAACTAATAGCGTCTGGAGCAGATTTTCCTTCTAATAGATTAGTTTAGCCTATTTGGTTGGCAGTTGAGGAAGCAGGGCTAGAAACACATCTGCACTCAAGGGCATATCAGAGTTTTCCTTTGAAATGAAAAGCAATTTATTTCTTCAAGAATAGGAGAGAACCAGAAGGGGGAAAACATATTACACAAACTTCAATGAAAGTCACTCTACACAGAAAGCCTGTTTCTGAGGAATAAGTAGCCAAAAGAACTTAAAGCAGAACATATTCTTGGCCTTCATTTCCATCTCTCTCCGCCTCATAAGGAACTTGTTCTATCTCCACTGACAGAGGCAGCAAGCCTCTGAAACTCAGTCACCGGGAATCACAAGTAGGGAGACTGCTCTTGAGCTCAGATCTTGCTCGCAGGTTGTCCAGGGACATCTGGTTGGCCCTGCAGGGACAAGCTGGAGAAGGCAGCACCAACAGGCTTCTGCCATGGCCATTGGATGGTGGGAGGACATCTGAATGGTGCTTGAGGCTTCATAAAATATTGAGAAACTAAGCTTGAAAACACCAGTTGCTGGGGATCCTACGATCTGAGGAGGATACACCTTGCTTAAGGGGCTCACCTTTGCCTTGAGGTATATTGCCAGTCTGCATGCCATCTTATTCTCACACAGGCTTAAAGTTACCTACTATGCACCCACACTATTCATCTTGCAGGCTTCTGACTTGTATCAGTAAAGAGTCAATTCCCTCTATCATCTGGGCTGGTATAATTCAGCCCCCAGTTTTCATGTGCACTGGGGGACCAGAAAAGCACCAGTTCTCCACATTTCCTTGAACAGGAATTACCCCCAAAATAAAGAAGTCACGAACTCCAGGAATCCAGCTTTGACCCACTCAGAACTTTAGCAGCTACAGATGAATTGCGTATATATGACATAATGAACACTCACCCGTTTGGTGTAATCCATGGCCTTCAGAATGGAGAGGTTGAGGGTCTCCAGGGAAGCCAGAACATCTTCATAATCTCCCATGTGGTCGGTAAAATAATCTGGACCCCGAGGATATTGCAGGATTAAAGGAGAAGGGAGGGAAAAATAAAGGATAACATTTTAATCATACTTGCTTGCCTCAAGGTAAATGTCCAAATTGAAAACTTGCTGTTTCAAAGTGTACCAGCCAGGAACTATTTCAACTTCTAAAAACACTGCACTCCATCATGTTTAGTAGGTGAAAGGGGTTCAAATCATAGAGCTGGCAGCGGTGACGGGCTTGTAGGAAATGCAACGCTAGTCCCAACAGGTGGTTGTCCAGCCTCTGATTTAAGACCTATTCAAAGGGTTGTTAATAGTTGAAGGCAAGTTCTTACTGTTCTGCTACATTTATTTTTGAGGGATAATTTGCATGACCTTTTCTGTACACCAAGTTAGTAGTTGAAGAGATTTTTTTGTGGCTGGGCCAGAACACCATTAAGCTGAAATGTGCAGAGGAAAGAGGGAGACCACAACCATTTGTCACCCCCTAACATGTTTGATCAGGGTTGTTAGCAGATCTTGCCTGCATCATCTCCTGCCCGTGCTCCCTCTCTTTTGACAGCCCCAGATTAGTCCATGTCGACCTGACTCAAGGTGATCCAGGGCTGCCATGACCTAGTCCAGGCAAATCCCAGATCAGCCTGAGTCATGCTGATTTCGTTCAGGAACTGAAATTTGTCTGGACCAAATACACAGCCCTTGAAAATATCTGTAAGTGAAATAATCCAATAAAATAGTCCTATTAGTTGTAGTACCAAACACCTGGATGGTACTAGGTTTAGGAAGGCAGATCTTGATGTCATGGACTGGCTGGATACAGAGGAGATGTGGGAGGCACCAGTTGGGGAACCCTTAAGGAAAACCCCAGGGAAAGAAGGCTCAGACTGAGGGGATTGGTGGTGGGATGGCAGGAGAAGAGGAAGGAGGTGTGGTGGAAGCTGAAGTGGTAACAGGGTTTAGTGAGCAGGGAGAAGCAGAGGCTTGTGAGGAGGGGAGCCAAGAGACTGATATGAGTTAGGCTGGTGAAGAAACGAGGATGTCTTCCCCTCCTGCTGTGACCAGTCCCCCCCCCCCAGTCTCCCAGGACCAGAAGAGGTATGAAGAGGGAGGAGCAGAGACAGACATGGCAATGGAGTCATAGATTGCTTGGGAAGTACCCAGGGGAGGCGAGGACCTTCAGTTCCCACAACTGCCTCAAAGGGGTAAGATCTACCGGGGGGTGTTGCTGTGCTCACTAGGGCTGGCCTCCTGAGCTGAACTTATTTCCTTGAATAAAGAGTTAATTTCACTGACACATTGTGATTTATTGGTGACCTGCCTCTGATTCCCGCTCCTGACACTTAGCTATGAACCTCCACCCACAGATCGAGATCTAAGTAAGTTTTCCGTCTTTATTTTTTTTTAAAGTGCAGAAATTGGTGCTACCATAATCTCTGTTAGAAAAGAAGCAGCAATTCATATTGAATTGACATTTCTTACAGAACTCTCCTATAAATAACCTCAAAAGACAGTCCATTAATTAGCCTCCCTTGGCTTAATTAAAATGCCATATATCTCTCTGAACAGCATGCAGGATGAAGGGAGCGATAGCAACTGCTGGAGGAGCAGTGAGGAGTCCTCCTTCCACTGTGATCCACAGCGGCTTGAGCCTGATTTTAAAAAAAAACCCAGCCACCTAATTTCCAGCAGCTGCAGATATTTCCTCACCATACAAGGGAGTGAAAAATAAATAAATAAATCACTTTGCAGAGTTGGCTTTTAGAAGTGAGGAATGGAAGAAGCAAATCCCTTTCTGGAGATGATAAAGCAAAACTTGTGACACAGTCCATAAAACCTGAGGAGGAGAAAAATAACGATTGCGATTTTGGCAAGGGCGGGCACTGAAAAGCTGCACATGTAAAACAGGATTAAATTGTAATTTTGATTAAAAAGCCTTTGCAAACACAAGAGAGAGATTTCACCTGGACCAACAGGAGATTTGAGGCACTTGCAAATACGTGCTGAGGGTAAGCCTAACACAAACCCAATGGCAGCTTGCTGGACACTAGAAGGGTGGTTTATAGAAGAGGTTGCAATATTTAGGGGGCCACCAATGTGACACACGTAGGCACAGTGTTCCCCTTGAAGTCTTCCCCCAGCAGCAACAAAGCATCTCAGCCCCCATTCTGTTCAGGGGCCTCTTAGAGCTGAAGGAGGAAGTTGGAAGAGTGATGCTAAGAGAACACGCACAGAAGTGTGCATTCTAGACAGGGATGGGCAAATCCCTGAATTCTCATTCTCTCTCTCTCTCTCTCTCTCTCTCTCTCTCTCTCTCTCTCATTTCCTCATTTCTCCAGTCTTAAGTTCAGTTCTCCACATTTCCATGCCAGCGTATCTTTTTATTTTAAAAAGTCCTTATGAAAATGAACCAGCATGTTAGTGTGGATTTCATAATCTACGCATTTATATCTCTGCGTAGCATTTGAATTTTTGCACACATTCCTCAGCAAGAGAAGTGCATTGCAAAATTCGGGAGGATTGCAAACGGTTTCTGTGTTTCAGTTTGTGCATTGTTTCAGGGAGTGCAAATTAGGCAGCTTCATCTTTAAATGAGAACTGAATCTAATTCCTCTTCCATCCCTAGCTAGAAAACAACAGCTGAACAGGGGTTATGTGTGTTGAGATATTGGTAAGACGAGTTTACTCCTGAGTGGGGTATGTGATCCCTAGGTCGCTGCAATTACTATCAAGTGCAGGTAAGCATTTGCCAGATGTTTCTGTTGTGCCTTTGGGCAAAGAGTTTATTTTTAGCAAAGTACATAAACATCTGAAGATAAAGTATGTATCCACTACCTCTCTCAACTTGATCTCAATCTCGATGTCCTAGTTAAGAGAATTGTCTAGCAACATTAATTTCCCCACTTCTGTTTCCTACCTCGGTGTAACAGTCTGAGAAGAACAATCTAATCTACTTGTGACTTGGGGTTTGGGGTTTGACAAGCACTCCGTCTGTTGACCGAAAGCCTCCATGTGTCACAGGCAGGCCAGCCTCACCCCTGCGATGTGAGTCATACATGACCCCCATTCATACAATCAACCAACTTGTGAAAGGGCTGTGTGTGAATGGAGTTGACTAACGGGGTGCCCAAAGGGTTCAGCAACCTGGCCCAACAAGTTCTGCTCTTGTATATTCTCTATGCGTCGTGCATAGAGCCCTTTCAAACCCTGGGGAAATGGCATTCCATACAGTGGTACCTCGGGTTAAGTACTTAATTCGATCTGGAGGTCCTTTGTTAATTGAAACTGTTCTTAACCGGAAGCACTACTTTAGCTAATGGGGCCTCCTGCTGCCACCATGCCACCGGAGCACGATTTCTGTTCTCATCCTGAAGCAAAGTTCTTAACCTGAGGTACTATTTCTGGGTTAGCGGAGTCTGTAACCTGAAGTGTATGTAACCCGAGGTACTACTGTACTTTTTATGAGTGTGGAACTCACCAGAACCCATTTTCCCTCTTTTCTCAGATATAAGGAGACGCTTCAGCAAGAGGTTAAATCCCTGGCATTTCAAGGTACAACTGGGAAGGACCCCTGTCAGAAATCATGGAGAGCCACTGCTAGTCATTGTAGGGCAGGGGCAGGGAACCTTCAGCCTGTAGGCCAATCTCAGACTGCAGAGGGGGTCAAAATTGGCCTGCGAGGCTATTTCTCAAAAAACATGCCCACCTGCCAATCAACTGGTGTCACTTTGATGAGGGGTACAGACATTCTTCATTGGCTGAGTGTCAGCAGGATTTAATCCCTGCTCATCAGCTAATGAGCAGGGGTTCAATTCTACAAAGTCACAAGGCCAGAGAGGGCTCTTAGTCTTGGATTCATGCCAGGATCCAGAGAAATTCCTTCTCAAGAACAGGATGACACAATCTGGAGCAAACTATGTGAACATACAGAATTGCTGCCATAGGCTGGGAACAGGAACACACAGCTAAAACACAGCACAGGGCTGTTTGAAAGCCGTTTTGAAAGCAGCCCTGTGCTGCTCTTTGAAGCTCACTTTTGGAGGTTTAAAGAGCAGTGCAGGGCTGCTTGCAAAAGGGCTTTCAAACAGCTCATACTGTGCTTTGAAATCCCAGCAATCATGGCTTCAGAGCACAGCAGCACCTGATGTCATAGTGATGTCACATTTGGCCTGGAGGGGTCAGGAGATAATGGTCTGGTTTGCCTGCTAGGAAAGATTCCCCATGCCAGATTTAGGCAAGACAGTGGAACTTCGCAAGTCAAACGTAATCCGTTCTGAAAGGACGTTTGACTTCCAAAATGTTCAAATTCCAATTGGCTGACAGCTAGTCTTTTTGCAGATTGGAAGCCACGTTGGACGTTTGGGTTCCGAAGAACGTTCAAAAACTGGAACACTTACTTCTGGGGTTTTGACGTTTGGGAGTCAAAACGTTTGGGAATGGAGCGGTTTGAGAACCGAGGTTCCACTGTACTGGGCTAGGCGAAGCACTGGTCTGCCTACCTTATATGGATGAGGCAATTATATATTTTTTATTTTTGTCTGGATGAAAGCTCAGACACTACAACTGGGGTTGCCTGGATAGGTAGTGGTAGAGCATCTGCTTTGCATGTAGAAAGTCCCAGGTTTAATCCCCAGGATTGTCCCATCAGTGTGGACAATAGTGAGCTAGATGGACAGATGGTTTGATTCAGGATAAGGCAGCTTCCTGTGTTCATTTAGGGCTGAAGTGCTGCTGCTGCTGTGCATGTGGGGACACTCTCCTATAGCAACCCACTTTCTTTTCACTTACCATCAACTAACAAGGATGAAATGTGTGGCCTTGCCTTTGCTGGAGGTACTTGGACAGGGTCTGATCAGCACTGCTGTTAGAAAATGTGCTCTGCATGCAAAAGACGCAGGTGGCGCTGTGGGTTAAACCACAGAGCCTAGGACTTGCCGATCAGATGGTCGGCGGTTCGAATCCCCGTGACAGGGTGAGCTCCAGTTGCTCGGTCCCTGCTCCTGCCAACCTAGCAGTTCGAAAGCACCTCAAAGTGCAAGTAGGTAAATAGGTATCGCTCTGGTGGGAAGGTAAACGGTGTTTCCGTGCGCTGCTCTGGTTCGCCAGAAGCGGCTTAGTCATGCTGGCCACATGACCCGGAAGCTGTACGCCGGCTCCCTCAGCCAGTAAAGCGAGATGAGCGCCGCAACCCCAGAGTCGGCCACGACTGGACCTAATGGTCAGGGGTCCCTTTACCTTTACCTTTATGCAAAAGATCCCAGGCTGGAGGAAGCCACTATCTAAAACTTGGGGACAATTCAGAGCAACGTGGAACAATTCCATGTAAGGCTGCTTGCTGTGACTGATTTTAAATAAGAAGGTCTCTTTTTAGGCATGAGGTGTAACTCAGCAGTAGAGGACACACTTTGCAAGTACGAGGGTCCAAATTCAATGTCTGGCTTCTCCAGGTACGGCTGGGAAGGACAACTGTCTGAAATGCTGGAGATGCCGGCAATATGTCAGTGAAATACTGAGCCAGATGGATCAATGGTCTTGCTCACTTTCCAATTCTTATTCTTATTAAATATGTACACCACCCAATACCGTAGATCTCAGGGCCATTGACTATATCCCTAAAAATGTTCCTACTGAACACAGGCATGCCAATGCTGTTATAACCAACAAAGCTGATTGGGGAATTTGCTGAGCTGCCAAAAGATAAGATACTCACCACATAGTTCCTTCGTATCCACGTTGCTTTGAAATAAAGAAAAGAAAGACAGGAAATAATAAGAATACACAAAATTAGAAGGAGGGAAAGCGGGAGCATAACTGCAAGAAACTGAGAAAAAGTGGAGCCAGAACAAGTTCACTACCAATGTTCAAAGATGTTATATATTGCTGTTCTCAATAAAACGTACATTTCAAAAGCCACACGCCAGGACTTTCACATCAAGCATTCCTGATCCAATTGTAATTAAATACACTGAATTGCACTTTGCACATAGTGTATTTTGCTTTTGTTGTTGTTAACAAACGAATGCAATGAAAGGTAATTAGTGTATAGTAAAATCTCACTTATGCAGATCATGGTAGGGACAAATGGTACTTTCAGGGTTATGTTTTAGCTGTGCATTCCCTGCCTTAACACAAATTAAATTCTGCAGACAGAATCACACAACTTGATCATATCTACATAGTTTCTCTCGTTTTGCATAATATTGCTATTTTGCTAAATTTATTGGTATATTAGCTAGTCACAATGTGGCCTAAATATAAGGAAGAACTTTTTGGTGCTAAGAGCTTTTCAACAGTGGAATGGACAATCTTGGAAGGTAGCAGGCTCTCATTCAAGTTTTTTAAATGGAGGTAGACTGACCATAATTCAGGGTTTTTTTTAGTTGTGATTCCTGCATTACAGGTGGTTGGACTGACAATTATATGTTTTTAAGATTTGTCTGAAATGCCTTATACAGCTGCCTCCTTGACTTCTGAAATTTCATCAAGCATTCTCCATATCCTTTCAAGTCTCTTTTTGCAGCCAGAGGGTGAAAACATGCACTCTGGAATGCAGAGGCAGCAATGACCTTTAAATGCCTCATAAAAGCATATATATCTACGCAAGCTTTCCTGGACTCTGCCTCTTAATTTTTCATTCTGTTTTGAACATTGCTGATTTTATCTGTGGAATATATGTTTTCTGTTTTTCCTACATTTTTGGACATTTTATTGCTTCTTATCTGTACTTTTAAATGTAAACCACAGAGATCTTTTTATTATTATATTAAACTGTATGTTTTTAAATGAATAAACTTTTTCTAAAAAAGAAAAGAAAGCTGAGATTCTTAGGAAGCTGGCTTGTGGTTTTTCCTGAATTTCATCTTTGTTTTCCTGTGCCACTGCAGAATTATGTCATATACAGTGGTGCCCCGCAAGACGAATGCCTCGCAAGACGAAAAACTCGCTAGACGAAAGAGTTTTCCGTTTTTTGAGTCATTCCGCAAGACGAATTTCCCTATGGGCTTGCTTCGCAAGACGAAACGCCTTGCGAGTTCTTGCGAGTTTGTTTCCTTTTTCTTAAAGCCGCTAAGCCGTTAATAGCCGCTAAGCCGCTAAGCCGCTAATAGCCGTGCTTCGCAAGACGAAAAAACCGCAAGACGAAGAGACTCGCGGAACGGATTAATTTCGTCTTGTGAGGCACCACTGTATGCACCTGTGGGTTATGGGTGCTGCTAAAACAACATTTGAGCTTTGCTCTTATGGAGGTTCTACCCTGAGTCCTGCATGGAGCTGTCCAAGGTCCTATTCAAATCTTGCCTTTGTACTGCTCTCAAAACAGCAAGCAATGAGTCACAATACAGAAATGCCTCTCTGGCTGCACTGCTTTAGAGTTCCTTAGTTCATTTAGTCATTCATTGAGTCATCCTTCATCATCAAGATCTTAAGGTAGCTTATAGCAACTAAACAATAAATACAACGAAACCACATAAGCATTAATGGGAAGATTGAAGCCAAACTATTACATTAAAACCACAGCAGTGCATCTGATGTTGAGCAGCATCAAACATTCCCAAACGCTTAAGGAAAAGAGATGTATCTCGAGGCTCCATTGAAAGTTCAGCAGTTTTGACTCCAATCAAAATTCCTGGGGGATTCCTGGCTGAAGCGCCACCACTAAGAAGACCTCACACTGCAACACCCATGTGTTTCATCTGTCAACCAGGGTCCCTCAGCAGACATTAAGGCTGTGAGTGGCAAGCACCGGAGGGGCATGCCTTCAGGTTTCTGGATGAAAAGTCATAACTACATGATTAACAAGCACTCAAGGAGCTATAGTTTCTGGAATGGACAAATTATTCCAGAAAGGTTGTATGTCTGCTGTTTCTTCTAAACAGCATTGGTCAGAGGCTGAAAGTGGGTCTCCTTAGTTCCACTGTACCACTGTCTTTACTTGTTTTATTTATATGCTAGAGAAGTGTTTGATTAACTCAGACTCATTCTTGATTTGACTGATGGGTCAAATTTTAAGTGGATTATGGAGAAAGAATAATTAAAAAGCCTTTCATTGCTGGAATTCTTAAAGCTGCTTCATAAATTCAGAAATAGCTTATGGTGCATTCTTTCAGACTGCTGGCATGGGGTCAATTCCTAGATGCTTCCCCATGTCAAAAATCCCCAGCAAATGAAAACCTTGCTCATCAGGGAAAGAGGTAGCCTAAATTCCTTCTCTCTGTGAGTGGTTGTAGGATTGAAGCCTAAATGTATTTTTTCATAAAGCACAGATTTTTTAATGTGCTGTCTCTCAAAATATGCATTTTAGAATTAATTTTGTTACATGTTTTTGAGGCCAGATCTGTGTTAGAATATTCAGGGAAGTGAGGAAGCTGGCAGATAACCAAGTTCTGATTTGCACATCAGTCTGGAGGTGCTGATAATGTCAACTCATTCACAAAAATCAAATTCCTCAAGTATCTCTAAAGCTAAAGGATTAAAGAAAAAGGCTTAACTGTGACTTGAATGTGCCCAACCCAACAGATTCAAAACCCTTGTGTTTATTTTATTTTATTTATACCACCCTTCACCCAAATATTTGTTTTGCTGCAAATTAGGCACAACATCTTTGGCTTCAAAAGAAGTACTATAAGGCCTGATTTAGCAGTAAGTTTACCACAGGGAGACGGAATTTCTGGTCTGCGGGCTTACTTTGGCCCACAGGCTGTTTTACTCAAACCTAGGTCCTGAGTCCTAGGTCACATATGATGTCAGATGTGAGAAATTTCACATTTTCTCCCACTCCCTCTTGGAACTCAAGTTGGGCTGCAAAGGAAAAATATTCAGCTGCATTTGTAAAAGAAGAAAGGAATAATTTAATGTGTAGAGAGCACCCCTAATTAGTTTATGTCACCTGATAGCATGGTGGTGTCAGGTGATTGACAGGTGGGTAGCCTGCCCACTTGCCATAGTGGCCAACATGGGGTGGGCGAGTTCAGGATTCAGCATGCTTGCCAGATCCTGTTCACTGCTCCTGGTTTCCAAGATGCAAGTTACAAAGTTTAAAACAATCCAAGTTTTTTAATCAACCAAGCCAGTATAAAAGTGAATAATAACCTTCCCAATTTTCTGTTTTCGTCTTAAATGCATGCCAGCCTTCCCCAAGTACTCTGCTGGTAGATTTGTCCAACCTGGTGGCCTCCAGATATTGCTAGACTCCCATCAGTCCCAGCCAGCATGTGCAATGGCCAGAGGTGATGGGAGCTGGAGTCTAGTAACATCTGGTGGGTCACATGTTCTTTGCCCTTGATTTAGATGGTCCACTACATCCAGGGAACTATGGTCTATCTTCTGACCATACTGAACTATTAGAATCTGAGAACAGAAGGTTCATTGAAATTGCAGTCCCAGTCTAGATATTTAGCTGGCCTGTGCATGTCCTGTTTCAAACTGAATTCAAGGTATATTTTTCTCAGAATGAGGCCAACAAACTGCTTCCCTTGGCACTGGATTTTGGATTAGCAGATGTTCCTTATCAGCTAGCTGAGCAGCAAGGCTATTCTCACCCACCTTTGGATTTTCTTCTCATTTCTAAAATAGTTTTCATCCTGATAAGGCTTCCAGGATAGTATGTGATTGACAGCACTCTCTTGCTGAATCAATTCCAAGCCATATGTTTCATTCCCCCCACACACTTTGGCTTAAAACAGGGGTGGCTAACCTGTAGGCTTTCAGTTGTAGTTGGACTCTAGTTCTCATGATCCTCAACCAGCATGACTATGATCTGGAATGCTGGAAGTTGCAGTCCAGCAACACCTGGCAGGCCAAAAGGTCAACCATTCATGGCGTAAAAGCTATGTCTTTGGGATCTAGCTAATATTTAATAATCTCTCCTGAGCTTGTTCTGCTTTCCCAAAGCCTGATTTTTTTTTGCAGGACTACTGAGAGTTAATTTCCATGAGCACATGTTACTCTCAAGCTGATGCCACTGAAATGCTAAACGTGCAAAACTTCCTAAATGAAATCTAGCTTACTTTAGCTGAGAACAGTTCAGAGCACATCAGGAGCAAGTAATTGCTTAATCAGAATCCTAACCAAATTTATGAGGAAGACAGTGTAGGCAGAAAACAGAACACTACTTTCTGAAGAGCAGGAGTAATTGAATGTAGATGCAAGTTAATTAATTGGACTTTTGGTTACAGAATTTCACCTGCAGTTTAGTGTACATCACCAAATTGCATGAAGCAATGGACTTTTCTACTTGGTTTTATGATGGATGGAACCACTAATTTCTGTATGTATATTGATCATATGTGCAAGAATGCCCTGGAAACACCTGGCTCATGTGTCAAAGGCCAGGGTAAAGAAGTATGCCTTTAACATTTGCAGAAAGGTGTATAGTAAGCCCTACACATCTCTGTGGGGAGAGAATTCCATGATAAAGGCTGCCACAGAGAATGTCTTCTTCTGGGCCACCACACCCTGAGTTTCTGAGGGTGGTAGAATAACCAAGAGGGCTCACTCTGCTAATCTTAACACCCAGGAGGATCTGTGGGGAAGGAGGCAGTCTTTAAGGTATTTGGGGCAAACTGGCAGCCATCTTCCTAGGAATACTAGGTTCCATTTGAACCAGTGTCTATAGACTTGGGCTGTGAGCTCTCCTGACCACACAAGAGACCCCATCCAGAAAGACTGGGGAACCTCATATGAACAGGGACTTTAAAACCACACAATGAAGCACCCCTATCGAAAAATGCTTCTTGGTT